AAAAAAAATTGAAGTCCAACACATCACAGAAATAAACCTTCCCTCAATACTACTTTTGTCTCAGCTTCAAACTTTTCCTTTCTCTGTCAAACCTCCTAAAGAAGTGGTAAGCACACTTCGTCTCCATGGCCTTTCATTGCCTCTCCTCTCCCGTTTGCTACAGACACTGGATTCTGTTCTGTTTCTCTCCTGCCCCTTGCATCACTTCTCCCTCTCCTGCCCTGGGTCTCTGCCTTTGCCCCTTCCATGTTGCTATTCCCAGGTCCCATTCTTGGCTCCTTCTGTTCTTCTTGAGTGCTTCCTCTGGTCATCCCCAGGGCTTAGACCATTCCTTTACTCTCAATATTCATACCCCTTCTACTCCACAGCCATAACCTTGACCTTATCTCTGATCTCTCCTGATTTATTTCTGCACTTCCACATGCAGATCTGGAATTGCTGAGCCCAAGTGAGCCCTCCCTCAGACACCTGAGGTGTCTAGGACTGGACTTCTCTCCTTCCAAACGTGCTCCTCCCCCATCTGTTGCTCCATGAATGGCATCCCCTGTGCTAGGTGTCCCTGGTGAACATCTCATTTGTACTCAACTTCCTCTTCACATTCTACATTCCATCTGTTATTGAGATGAACGGACTCTGACCCCTAGACATTTCTTGAATTCATTGCCTCAAAGCTGTATTCTAGATGCCTATCCCTCACTAGAACCTTAAAATAGTCTCCTGTCTTCTGTACTCAAGTCTCTTTGTCTTTGCTCCTTGCTCTGTGTTTCTAAAGCCAGGTTGTATTGCTATTCTTCCCCTGCATCAAGGCTTCCATGTTTCTTATTAGTCATGTATTCATGTCCAGCATCCTCATCGTGATTGTTCTCTGCCCAGGAGTCTGTACTGCCAGAGCCTCTGCACCTGCATCTCCCCTGCACCTGCATCTCCCCTGCACCTGCATCTCCCCCTTTGGTCAGGATGACTGAATTTTGACACACAATTAATGCTTTGGAGAAGCATTTGGAGTCTGATGTATTTTTTGCTCAAATTCTTCTCCCACCTCATCATTGATGTGAGCCTTGGATGAGTTAAAGTGGCAACAATGATCGAGCCTCTCTTGAACTCTTAGGAAGATTAAATAAGAGAGTGCAGGTAAAGAACTTGGTGCTGTAGCAGGCACAAAGGAAACAGTGCCCATACCAAGATTTTCACCTGCCCAGCATTCGGTATTTTGCTCATGGACTTACTTTTGCCTAGAATTCTCTCTCTTGCCTTCCCCTCCCACCCCAAATGCACTGACAAATTCCTACTTATTTTTTAGTACACTGTTCTAATAGCCTGTTCTTAAACCCTTCCCTGCCTCTCCCCAGCTAGATTTCTATGCCTAACTCTGCTCATTTAGTGTGACTAACCTTTTTTCTGTTGTGGCATGTGACAGTATGGCATTGTAGGGGTTAATAAGGTGGGCTGTGGATTCAGGTTGAGCCCTGACTTTGAATCTCACTTTCACCATTGCTAGATCTTGAACAAACTGCTTAGATATTCAGTGCCTCGGTTTCCTCCTCTCTGAAACTGGGAGCACTACATGAGTTATTAGGACATTAATACAGCACCTAGCAGGTAGTGAGTTTGATAAATGTTAACTATTTCTGTCAAACACTTTGCTTTTATGTCTGTCCTCTCACCTGCCTCTCAGTCATTTTTGTGTCCCCTGCACATATCCAAGTGTTTGGCTTAATTTAAATGCTTAAATAATGTTTTAGGTGTTTATAGACTTAAAGCAACGATAAATGATGAATGAGCAGAGAAAGGTACTTTTGACTCGGTAAGGGAGCATGTTAAATCCTTTCTACCCTTGACATTTCTTGTTCTTTAAAGTCTGACCTAATTAATATCTTTCAATCTTTTCAGGTCAAATCCTTTATGGCCGAGTACTTTGGAATCCAGAACAAAATCTTAATTCTGCTTACAAACTGCAGCTGGAGAAAGTCTATCTTTGTACTGGCAAGGACGGCTATGTGCCTTTCTTTGATCCTACAGGAACAATCTACAATGAAGGGCCACAGTACGGATGTATTCAGCCCAACAAACACCTGAAACACAGATTTCTGCTATTGGTAAGCTGTCAGTGCTGAGAGGCAGATAACCAGGGGACTTCCCCAGCTGTGAATTCTGCCTAAAGCTGATAAAGCCCCACTCTTAATGATACACACACACACACACACACACACACACACACACGTTGTTGTTTCTCTCTGATCAGCTAAATACTCCCATACATTACCAAATGTGATGATGACAGCGGGTAACAACACTGTGCTGAACTGATGGCCCAGGAAGAGGAAACTGTTTCTCAAAGGATGGTGCCAAGACCTCCAGTGTCCCTGAGACTCTTTCAGGGAGCCCACAAGCTCAAAACTGCTGTCACAGTATAGTGATAAGGCCGACTTTTCACACTTGTTCCCTCATAAACTTGAGAAGTTTATTGATATGATTTGAGACTCCACATTGTAACTAATCTTCTTAAAAAAATCACTTGCCAGGTTTTGATTTCATATTGTAAAATAGCCACAGAAATCATCTGAAAAAGCTATGAACATATTCCTCCCCTTTCCAACCACACAGCTGTGTGAGGCCAGATTTTGTTCGTAGACTTCAACTAAAACAGTATATCACAACTGATTGAGTCCAGAAGCAGTTATGAGAATCCAGTTCTGTTCTCAAGAGTTGCAAAAATGCAAAACAATGCCAGCTATCTTTTGGGAGGGAGGGGAGAAGAGGAATAAAGGTATTTTCACTGAAAAATATCTCACTTAAGGGGCTGGGGTTGTAGCTCAGTGGTTGAGCGCTTGCCTAACATGTGTGAGCTAGGCAAGCACCACATAAAAATAAATAAATACAGCAAAGGCCATTGAGTCCATCTACAAATAAAAAAAAATGTTTGAAAAAATCTTAGTTAACATAATGAATTTTTCATTGTCCTGTTAGAATGATTTAATGTTTAAGTATTTTTAATTTTTTCAGGTTTTATTTTTAACACAATAAATGTGGATGGATAGAAATTATATAAACAAAAATTCTTTGGGCTTCTTGCTTTTTAAGTGTATAAAGGGCTTTGAGACCAAATAACTTGAAACCAAATAGCTTTGGGTCTAGGCTTGTTCACTCTGCTTTGAGATCACAGAACCCAGCAAATTGCTCCTTTAAAGAAGACAGTGGGTGCCCAGAGACAGCTGTTGACTTAAGGAGAAGCCATCTGCAATATATTCTCTGACCCAAAGCAGCGGTAGAGACTACCTTTCTCCTCCCCGTGATTGTACCTACCTGTACAGCTATTCCATCATTCTAAAGCCTATATTCCTTCTGTCTGAAATTCCAGGACCGCAGTCAGCCAGAGGTCACTGATAAGTACTTCCACGATGTACCTTTCGAGGCCCACTTTGCTTCTGAGTTGCCCGATTTCCATGTGGTCAGCAGTATGCCAGGTGTGGATGGATTCACTCTGAAAGTAGATGCCCTCTACAAGGTGAGTTTGGTGAGAAGGCTAGAAGATAAGCTTAGAACCAAGTCCACCTTAAAGCTGGAGGGAAGGGCACTCTGGATTGGCAGTTTCTTTTTACAACATTCTGGTTGGCAGATCTTTTTATTTATTGTTTTTAAGCTTATTGTTCACCCCAGAATTTCACCATCTATCCTCAGTAGACCAAAGCAATGATAAAGTTATTTCATTTGCATAAGTTATATATGTGCCTGGTCTACATATGATGCTCTAGTCCTTCCTAAATTCTTTTGAATTGCTTACCTCTGTGACTCTCTGCTGAACCGGCTTATTTTCACAGCCACATGGAAAACACTGAACAAAATCATAAACACAATACCACTACTTAGAATGGCTAGAGTGACTAGTGTCCGTTAAATGGAACTACCCTAAGTTCCAGCAATAAACATGAATTTCCGAGATCAAGTTTCACTGTTTTGCTGTTTCCAAATAGTAATGCATGACCTTGGATTTTGGCACTATTAATAATCACTCTTCAGAAGTTATTTCAAAACCGTGGAGGGTTTCAGTGGGGGCAGATGAAAGGGAATAAAATACTTGAGGATATAACTTCTCAGGGGACAATCCAGGAAGTATTCAGATGTAGCCTATTTTGTCAAGAATCTCTCAGAAATGGGTGTCAAGTATTTGTTGGATGCTCCATTTTAGCTAAAGTTCATCATAAATACTAAATTAGCATAGTGAACAATTGAAGGTCACTGTGATTATTAATACAATGATGTCACTACCATCAATAAAGACCAATAACTCATAAGCATTCACTTAGCTAAAGAAACCATGAAAAATAAGTTTTTAGGCTATTCCATGTACTGGTAGAGAAACAGAGAAGAAAGTGATTAGCTGAACCAAAATCATCCTAATTTGGAAGAGAAAACCCGTAATGGTTGGTTTAATCCTCTGTGTTTTAGAAGATGCTTAACCATTGCTAATGCTTTTCTTGAAACCATTTTTCTATCTAATCATATGGTGGCAACTGTCTTTCCATTTCCTTTCTTCAGACATGGTCTGTGGGCAACAGTGACATATGTGATTTGTCTCCCTTTGTCCTTCCTCCTGCAGGTGGAAGCAGGACACCAGTGGTATCTCCAGGTGATCTACATCATTGGCCCAGACACCATCTCCGGACCCCGGGTCCAGCGTTCTCTCACAGCCCCCCTGAGGCGCCACCGAAGGGACCTGGTGGACCCCAGTGGCTGGCTGACCCTTGATGATTCCCTCATCTATGACAATGAAGGGGACCAAATCAAGAATGGCACCAATATGAAGTCCCTAAATCTGGAGATGCAAGAGCCAATTGTGGCTGCTTCTCTGTCCCAAACTGGGGCGTCCATTGGCAGCGCCCTGGCTGCAATCATGCTTCTACTTCTGCTGTTTCTGGTGGCTTGCTTCATCACCAGAAAATGCCAGAAGCAGAGGAAGAAACAGCCCACGGAGGACATTTTGGAAGAATACCCTCTGAACACCAAGGTGGATGTGCCCAAGAGGAACCAGGACAGGGTGGAGAAGAACGTGAACAGACAGTACTGCACTGTGCGGAATGTCAACATACTGAGTGACACGGAGGGGGCCTATCCCTTCAAAGGTGCTAAAGTAAAAAAATTGAATCTGGAAGTCAGAGTCCACAACAATTTACAAGATGGAACGGAAGTTTAATGGAGGAGACCCATGTGTATTTTTATCTAAAATCATTTTTATAAAACAGGGAAATACTGGTATTTTTATAATCTTGCAGACTTAAAAAAAAAAGGGAAAATTATAGCTTTGAGTGGCGGACGGTACACATCACACACATCGACTCAACTGAGCTACCTCGTGAAACAAAGAACCACTGAGACCCCCAGAGTACTGGAGTAGAGGTAGTCTGTGGACCCCTTTCACAGTCTCAGCAGCTACTAAGAGTACCTGTGAAAGGCTGAGCTTAGAAGCAAGTGTTTTAGCATTAGGACAGGTGTTGGACAATTAGGGTAACTGATAGAATTCAGAGGATGTGGCAGATCTCCCTGAGAGTGAGTGGGATATAGGACCTTTGGCTTCCTCCCCCTCCTCCAGTATTCTCCTTCTTGGGCTTTTCATGGACTCTGGACAATAGAGTACCAATTGCTGACACCCAGATTCCATTCAAAAATCTACTGATCAGCACAACAGCTCTATTTGAACATTGTTTCCCCCTGATGGCCTAGTTGCCATGACCTCTGAGTACATTTTGCTTTTTCCAGAGTCTTTTACACAACTAGGAGTATCCATGTGCTTCATACTAGAGGGCTTCTCTGCAAGTATTTACAAAGGGGAGAGGACTGACCTGGGGAATGTAGGGACCTGGTCTTGAAGCAGGATGCTACACAACAGATCCAGTGCACCCTGGCCTTTGTATGCCATGGATGCCTAAAAATCATGAACAACACTTTCCTGCTACCCCAGGCTTTGCCCAGTCCAGTAATAGACAAGCACACATGCTTTGCTAGCAGTGGGTATTTAATTTTATTAGCATTTTAGGGAAGCAAGTGATTTATTTGAATAAAACAAGAGGAAGCCCAGGTTGGAGTGAAATCAGAATAAACAGATGTACATTGGTCCTCTTGCTGTCTGTCACCCAGGAGATGCAGGCACTGTCCCTGGTGCAGGATTTCAGGGATTTCTCTTTGGGGGTTCTTTTCTGGTAGCTCAGGCACTTATTTTTACCATATCAGCACGTGACAAGGCCATAAACATGTGGCTTTAAAATAATTTAGCGTTCACATATCAGCTTACCTATTCTGTGTGTGGTGTGTTCATGGCTTGCCTTTGCTTCTCTTTTATTTCTGCCTTTTTGGCAAAAACATAAGCATGCATGTCATGTTGTTTTGAACTAGAGGCACAGTTTCATTATTCAAGAGTAAAACACATGCTCTCTTCCTGATGCATGGCACACCCTCGTCACTGAGCAAATGACAGACCGTTCACGTTGTGTAATGTTTGTGTTAGAATTTCTGAGTCAAGCTCTTTGAGAACATTCCAGACTGGAAACACTGTGGTATTCAAACCTAAACAGAATGAACCATGAAAAGTTTTAGGCAGCTCTATCAGACTCCAAGCTCCTTGAGAGCCGGACCTGCATGAGCCACACCTTTTCATTCTTCCGCAGTACCTGTCACAGGCAGGCACACCAGAAGTGTTTGTCAAGTGAGTGAGTGAACAGTGCAATGGGTGAGAGATAGAGGAATAAATTTAGAAGGAGAAGGTGAGAGAGTATGGTTGGCAAAATGACAAGGGTGAGTAGAGAATTTACTTGGATTATGAAATGACACTCTTCACTGGGTCAAAGAAACACTGCTTTACCTAGGTATGACTGGCAGTGATCCTTAGGAGGCATGAACAGAAAGTTTGAATAATGTACCCAGAACAGGAGAGTAAAGGCAAAGTCTGACTTCATGTTCTAAGGTGAGCGTAAGGTTCTCAAGATGAATTGGGGTGAGCCCAGAAATTCCTGATTGGAGAGATGCTACTTCAGACCAGCTTGGGCCATTCAGGCAGAACTTCTGTCTCAGCTTCAGAACATCCAGACTTGGTGTCTCACGGCTGGAGAGCTGATTAGCCTGGCACGAAGTCTTCTCCAGAACAGCCTAGAGGGTGAATGCTAATTCTGCAAGGACAGGGAGCCAGTCATCTGGAGAGCAGCATTCCATTTGGCCCGTTACTAGTCACTGCTCTGAGTGCCAAGATGCTCACACATTAAAGCAGCACATTTCCTTTGCTCAGATGTTCTTCTCGCACACCCCTTCCATTACTACTGAATAGGACATGTGTTTGGGGAGATTGCAGACAGTTGGCAGAATGAAACTAGTGTGGGGAGGGAGACGGAAGCCTGAGAGTGCTCCTGGCAGCCTCCACACACAGGGTGTAAATTGACAAGGGCAACATCGGTGAGGACCTGGGGGGGATGAATTTTGTGAAGAGAAAGCCTTGCAATATTCCTGCCTCCCTTTCTTTCTGCCCTTCACCCCGTTATGTACACATTTTGGAATGTCAGTACTTCTCTAGTGAATGCGTACTTGTTAAATAAAAATTGTTAAGAGATGGGGAGTTGAGATTCACCCCTTTGATGTAGAAGTGTTCAATTCATTTACATTTTATGCTTCATCTTAGGGATCAGATAATTTGATGACTAACGTGGATTATATTTCAAGGAAAGCTTTGCTTTCCATTTCTCTGACTTGCTCACTAATGCCTTGTGTGTGTATGTGTGTGTGTGTTACTAACCTTTTATATCATGCCTTCAGGTGAGAAGGAACAAAAAAACCCTCAGGGGTTGCTACTCACTATCATATGCCGGCTGTGAAGGTTAAAAGAAATAATGGTCTGAACCATTTTTCTGCCTTGCTGCCCTTTTATAGTACCCCAGGCCTCCTGCAGGACTCCTGCAGATCCCTATTGTTGGATGGGAAATAGTGTGGAATGTGTTTGCACAGTTTTATGATATTCAGTCTCAGACCCCAATAGGTATTTGTTATTCTTGGATCCTACACACCTGCTCAGACTGAGTAAAACATTTGTGGTGCTGTCAACCTGATTTCTTGATCCTCAAATGATTTTTTTGTATTTCTAATATGAATTTGTGTGTTATGAATTTCTGATTTCTCCAATACCATATGCCACTATATAAATTTGTATTAATAAATAACAGTCTGGTTGGTTTTTGTTTGTTTTGCTATATTCTTTTTAAATTATTCATCTCATTAACATAGACATTGCTACCAAGATGGCAAAATCATTCTGAAATTTTGAGTTGTTTTTTTTTTTAAGAAAGACCCCTCTAAATGTTGTTAAATATGAAACCAGTTAACTCTGCTAAGAACAAGATGCTGAATAAATTACATGTTCTTACTATCATTATAGCTTTTCTTTTGCAATCAGGACATAAACACTATGAGAAAGAGGAAAAATTTAGATTTCCATATGTAATATGATAGGATAATTATTTACACTATATTAACCATCAAGCCTTCTCAAGATCCTTGATATAGTGTGAGGATGACTATGTCCTTGTATGCACATGCAAAGATTTGTTAAGTGTCCATAACTCACTCTGGAGATGATCAGGGCTCTAAAAAAAAAGTTTGAAAATGTTTGTTGGCTTGAGAAGAGAAAAATAGCAGTGACAGAATGGAACTGCGCCCAGACCGTCTTGGCATTCTGCAAGCCTGTGCACTTGTGTCCCTTTACCCTCTGATAAAACAAAAACAAAAAGTGACAGTGACCAGCAGGGCTCTTTTGGCACATTTGCAACTCAGTAAGATGAGAAAGTGTGCTTTCATAAAATCTAGGCAAGGGATGCCAAACCAAGCCCAGAAGTTCCTGGGAACCATGGGCTTAATATAAGCTTCAGATCCTCACTGGCCCTTGCTAAGAGCAGACTCTACTCCTGGAGTGCATTTCTCTAGGGTGCATGGGGAAGCTATCCCAGGAGCCAATCTATGTAATGTTAGGATTGTCTATAAAAATGCATCTGAGCCCGGGAATTTCATGGCCTTAAAACTTAGGAATCTTGGAAGATAACTGACAGAAAATACATCTTCATTTAAAATTTAAAATATCTCATAGACTAGGGTTTTGAAGAAACTTAATGGGAGCTGAGGAAGGGAAACTATATTAATAACTTATTAACTATTACTATGTTAGTAAGTTATGCTACATGAAATTGAAGATTTTGAAGGTTATATGTAGTCCAATATCCATATTTAGATACCAATATTTATATACCACAACATGTAATACAGATTTTGTCCCCAAACAAGCCAAAGATAACTCCTAACAAGATCCCTTTAGATTGTTCCATTGTGAATACTTAAGAGCCCTGGTAAAATTCTATATCGGGGACCTCTAGCAATGCTAAAATCAAGTGCAATAACTCCTTTACATTCTGTTCCTCATTGTCCTTATAATAGATAATTTTCTTTGGAAGTTCCATATGAACACCAGAATTTCAAATCCTTGAGGGCTTCCACAAGTACAACTTGGCATTGCTTAAAAATGGCTGCAAGCCCCTATAACCTAAAGTTAATGCTTGTCATGAAAAATTCCATTACTTGGTTGATAGAATATCATAGACCCACACTGCATCCCTCTCTTTGAAAGCTAATAGAATTTTATCCTTAGGCTCATTTTGGTTCTAAGATTAGTCCACAAGTGATAAAAATCTATTAGGATCCCAGTCTCTAAGAGAACTTCCATAAATAATCAAAACCCAGTTTCAAGATGCCCCCCGCTATTTTCCCCACTAAGGAATGTTTCAGAAATGATTCTCTTGCCTTGACTTCCAGTATTATTGGCCAAGTGCAGCCACAGATAGGAGAGAAAAGCTGGGGAGTGTCGGTGATGCTGTCCCTGCTCCACCAGCTTTGCTGTGGTTCTGGCCAAGGATGCATTCCATCTGGGCCACAGGTCCTACTGTTGCAGGTTCCACAGTTTCAGTTCTTGCAGTTTCTGGATAAATCCTTTGCCTCCCTTACCCAAGCAGGCATGGAGGTAGCAATAACTTCATGTTGTTCATAGTCTCAGGGACATCAGCATCGCTGTGGCTGCCTTAACTTAACCCTGCCCACACTTGCGTAAATAAGACCTTTATTAAACCTTTATTAAACTGTCCACTCAAATACTTTGAGTATATTTTCTTTCTTCTACCCTAATTTATACTGTTCTTAAACTCATTATCATTTGGATTTGGTTTTTTAATAAAAACACAACACTTGAACTCAAATCAAGTCTTTATTTTAAATTTGCCCTTTATTATAAAAAGTGGTGTGCTGATAAATGATTAACAAACCACTTTTGGAATCAAGGGAAGCCTGATTTGTAGCATTTGCTCACATTTGTGTTGTATTTACTCCTACCATGGCTGAATTAAACTTACCAGTATAATTTTACTGAATACAGAGTTGAGAAGAAATGCACAGTAGTATTAATTTTTATAGTATTTCCACCACATCCGTACAATAGACAAAAATAACCTCAAGAACATCAACAATAATAAAATGTAGCAAAAATAATTAGGAAGTGATTAATTTGAGCACCTATTACCTTTGTCTTAAACTTAATTCAATCAATTGTGTATAGTAATTTAATTTTTTTTTTCAGACGGGATCTCGATTCCTGGACTCAAGCAATCCTCCTGCCTCAGCCTCCCAAGCAGCTAAGACTATAGGCATGTGCCACCATGCCAGACTCCAATTTAATAATTTAAAGTAATGGCTTTGTTTAACAACTGACTTGTGAAATTCTTGAACATTTAGTCTTTGGCTTGCATGGGTTGGTATGAGCCAGCTTCCAGCTCACCGTGTAAGAGCAAACAAATATTCAATATCTATAACCACTTCGTCATTTGATTTTACCCTCACATTTTGCTATACATTTTAAATATGCCTTAATAACTTTGCTGTAAAATTTTAAATTTGACTCTTAAATAGTTCTGTCAAGCAGAGAGAAAATGTGATAGGAAAATTAATTTCTTACAAAGCTAGGGAACAGTTCCAAGTATTCAGAATCATGAAAATTTCATCAAAAACAATTTTTTTCTAATTTTTTAAAAACAAATTAAAAATAACTATTAACCTGGTTTCTAGAATCCTAACATCATCATCTAACATTACATTTTGATAAAAGTCATCCTTTGGGGAAACAATACTAGTTTTATAGTATATGATGAAATGATTCTAGTCTAAATGGTCGTAAGCGGGCACTCGTTACAGCTAGAAAAACTCACAAAACTAAGAGTGCATTTTATTTTAAAGTTGACATCCTGAAACCAAAGAGGTTAAATCCTAAACCTGAACAATTACAATAAATCCTCTGTGTAAACACCACCTGTTACTCATTTCCTTCCAGATATGAATTCAGCCCTATTGCTTCCTAGTTGTGAGGATTGCAATCTGCAAATTTACTGAATCATTATGAGTCTCTCTGTATTTGCAACATAGAAGCAACCACACCTAATTTACAGTTGGCTCAACAGGATACAAGATCCTGTAAGTAAAGCGAGTTACTCAAAGTCTGGCATAAATATTAAGTTCTCGATAAATATGTGCGACCTACCTCTTAAGCTAGTCTTAGAATTCCTAGGTGATCTGGGATTTAACAGTCTATCTCTGAATGGGAGTTACAATGCAGAATAGAGTACAAAATGCAGTCATATCTTCTCTTTTCACAGAAAGCTCATCACTTCAGATTTGCAAATCTAGCAGGTTCCCAATGCACTTGGGTGTTAAGCAAGTTCATCTCTCTACTTTTACCATTGAAGCTCCTCTTAAGCCAGAGGTTCTCAAACTTCAAAGTACATTAGAATAGCCTGATGGGCTTGATAAAACATAGACCTGGAATGGGGTCTGAGAGAATGTGTATTTCTAACAAGTTTCCAGGTCTCAGGGCCAGCTTTGAGGACTGCTCCTGTCTTTCCAGCTCACATATAAGAAGGCCAAAGTACTTATATTGAGTCAAAGCTAAATATATATATCTGCATGAAGTAGCAGGGCAGGGTAGCACACATCTGTAATCCCCGCAGCTCATGCCACTGAGACAGGAGGATCACAAATTCAAAGCCAGCCTCAGCAACTTAGCAAGATACTGAGCAACTCGGTGAGACCCTGTCTCTAGATAAAATATATATTAAAAGGCTGAGGATGTGTCTCAGTGGTTAAGTGTACCTAGGTTCAATCCCTGGTGAAAAAAAAAAATGAAGTACTACCTGCTGAAAGATGAGAAAAAATGTATCCTGGCAAAGTTATTGTCAGTAAACCAAACCAGAAGTTACAAACTACATGGTCATTCATTAGTCGTACTCCTTTAAATTTACTAAACTTTTCTTAGAAAAACAGTAATAGGAGTAAGGCAGCCTATTTCACTGATCGAGAAATACAGAGCACACTAATTTAAAATTTAAAAGAAAGTAGGAATCTATCCAAATCATGTTTATGGATGTTCACTACCTATTCAATTGGGTCTCATTCCCCAACTGTTATGGCCTTCCTGATGTTCCTCTTCTCCTAAAATCCACAATATTTCAAGCCCTTTCCCCAGATCTAAGCATTATATATAAAAATTCATATATATATATGGAAAAACTAAAAGGAAAATGTATTTTTAACATTTTCATTTTTAGAAGAGTTATAGAATCTCAGTAAATTTGAATGGAAAGTACAGAGATATCTCTTTCCCCTACATATACCATCTCCCCCATTACTGACACTCCCCACCAGACTGGTACATTTTTTACAACCAGTGAGCCTATATTAAACATCATTATCACACAGAATTCATAGTTTACATGACATTACTCTTGACAAATATTCTATCAGCTTTAACTAATTTATAATGACATGTACCCCCTATTAGCATATTATACAGGGTAGTCTTTAAAGATCCTCTGTGCTCACCTGCTTATACTTCCCTCCCTTCAACCCTTGGCAACCACTGATCCTTTTACTGTCTCTATAGTTTTGCCTTTTCAAGAAGGTCTTATAGTTGGAAGTACACCTTTTGTGGCCTTTTTGGATTTCTTTCTCTCATAATATACATTTAAATTTCCTCCTTGTCTTTTCATGGCTTGATTGCTCATTTAATTTTAGTATTGAATAATATTCCAGTGTTTGGATGTACCACAGTTTATCCATCTGCCTACTGAAGGACATCTGGGTTGCTTCCAA